AAAAGGTGTAGGTGAAATGGGAGCAAGAAAAGATTGGAACAAGACAGGATTTAGGAATAGAACAAGATATGAGCAAGACCAAGAGCAACAAGACGAATTGAAACAAAACAAGATTTGAACAACACCAAGCCCAAGGCAATCATTGGCCATTGGAAATTGGCAGTGGGATAGCCCAGTCCGAGCGAACAAGCACATGACATTGATTCAGCACTGTGCAGACTGTGCAAGTGGCATTGGCCCTTAATCAGTAGACAGCGGAACTTGGTTTTTGTTCTTGTCCCGTGATTCTTGGGTGTCAGAGCCATTTCAGAAGCACTGGCCGTGGAGAAAAAAGATAGAGCCTGGTTTGGCTAGTGATGGTCGTAGGGCAAAAGACAGCGGAACTGTTTTTTTTTGGAGTTTTTTTGGTTTTTGTTCTTGTCGAGTGACTCGGGCTTCAGCATTGAATGGAGAATGTGAATTTTGGCCGTGAAAAAAGTGGAAAGTCTAGTGTGACAGGTTGTGGCCACGGGCGAACGACAGCAGAACTTTGTGGATTTTTTTGGGATTGTTGTTTGTTCTTGTCGATGACCCTGAAGCGTCAGAGGGCTCGGTGTTTCTGACCTATTGGGTTGGCAAATGAATGGAAAGCTCAGTCTGGCTGGCAGTGGCTGTTGCTCAAGGATAGTGGAATCTTTTTTGGTTCTTGTGGCGCTTGTTTTAATTTTGCTTTGGTTTGATGCTGTGCTTGGTGTTGTTCGTTATTTTGGTCTTGTTTCTGTTTGGTCTTGTTTGTGATCTTGGTCTTGGTCTTTTCCAAGGGATCTGTCTTGTTCAGAGAAAGAGATTGAAAGGTCAGTCCAGCTGGCTGGTAATGGGTCTTGGGCGAAAAATGGCTTGAAAGGTGACTCAATAGACGATTTCAAGAATTGCCTTTGTATTTGTATTTTTTTTTTTCGTATTTGTTTTTGTTGGGTGTAGAAAGGAAAGCCTAGATGAGACTCAAAGTGTGACTGGGCGGCTCTCGAACAAAAGACAGCGGGCCTCGATTGGAAGACAACATCAATATGTTTTTTTTTTTTGGTTTTTTGGTTTGTTTTTGTTTTTTCTTTAGTTCTTATCAAGTGATCCCCGGGCCTCAGAAGGCTCAGTGTATTCAGGAAGGACCTCCTCAGAAGAGCGAGGGATGGCCATGAGGCCTTGCTTTTCACAGGCCTCGCCGTCCTCCCAGGCGGCCTTGTGCTCTGAAGCAGTGGTGCCGCGGTAGCGTTGCCAGAGGAAAACCACGGCCTGGCCGACCAGCATGCCAATGGCACTAGCGGTCAATCCAGCCAGGACACCCAAAATAGCGGGGACAACGATAAAGTGCACAATGCGAGAGAAAGTGCGGGCGAAAGCGCCGTGGTGGGGGTGGTGATGGTGGGGACGAGCGGAGCCGTGGGCGTGGCCATGGTGGCCGCCGGGGCCGAACTTTTCACGTCCAGAGCCCTCTTCCTCGAAAGGAGGTGGGGGAGGGAAAGGCATACCGTCATGGCCTTCTTCGTGTTCTCCGTGGTGGCCCATTGTCTTGCCCTTGTGCTTGCCATGGCAGCTCTTGTGGCCGGCTTTGGCCATGCCCATCACGCGAGCCTTGGCACCAGACAAGAGGCCCCGAATGCGAGAGACCAGAAGTTCCTGCAGGCATTTGGCCTTGCCGTGGCACTCCTTCCAAGACAAACGGTCGGAGGCAGGGGCAGTGTTTTCGATTTCAGTCCGAGCGATGAAGAGCTCGCCGTTGGGATCCTGTAGAACGGTAATCGCAACGGTATCGACAGGGACTGGGTGGGTCTCCAGGTCAAGAACAGTGAATCGAATATCCAGGAGTTCGTAGCCCGGCTCATCCGATGGTGCAGCCATGGGCATGATTTCAAGCGCATATCCAACAGGCATGGGGGCGGAGTCCTCTCCCTCTTCATTTTGTTGGACCGCAAGAATTGGGATGGGCGGGGCCGGTGGGAATATTTGGCGGCCGTTGGCCAGCAGGCGGCTGTCTTCGATCGAGAATTCGAGAGTCTATTGGGGTTTGTTAGTCGGTTCGGATGAATAAAATGGATTCTGTCATGTTTACCAGAGATGATGGCTTGCCTTCCGTCCAGCTAACAACACCTTCGTCGTTGGTTTCACGGAGAGGACATTCAGAGCAGGGCAGGTCAACAATCGCATGATGAACATCCTCCAAAAGCATAGGGTGGATATTCACAAATCCATCTTCAATAATATCGACTTTAGGTTCCATCTCGGGGACGACTAGCATGGCACTGGCGCTAAGAGCAGCGGCGCCACCCAGCAAGACTGAGCGCACAAACATGGCGATGGAGTGAAATGAGGATTGTCGCAAGAATGCAAGTCAGAAGCAAGGCGATGCGTCTCTCCTTAAAGTGAGAGGAGACTTTCAAGAACGATGGGAACAATATGTCGAGGGGGTATGGAGATAAGTGATCTTCTTTCAGCGGGAAGTGGAGTGGGTGACGCCAGCTCCTGCGTGGCTCGTTCCGTCATTGGTGGATTATGGTCAGTCAGCCTGCTGACTGTGTAGGCGGCATCTTCCGGGCTTAGAAATTCGCCTTGGTATTCGTAGGCTCCACGAAAAGATTCTCATCCGAGTCGCATACCGTGTATTGTTATCGGGATTTCTTGTAAAAGTGAAGATAGCAAGGACTCCAGTGCCTAACTATCGGGTATGTGTTCAAAATCATGTTGATAGCCGTATACCGCAGTACAATCTTTTTAGCTGCTCGGAGTCGGCATGGTCTCTTCCGAGAGCCGCGAACAATACACGGTACTGCGGTATACATTTCAAGGTCGCGAAACACAATTTTGATACTGGCAAGGAATTTAGCCGAGCGCGGAAACCGCGTAGTCAGCGTGGTAAATGCGCGGGGGTCACCAATTTGTGACCGTGCCACACTAAGGCGTATACTTCAGTATCGTGTTTTCCAGCTCCTGCGAGATTAAATGATGTCCCAAATCCCAGGAGCTGGCTGTTTTATATGCCATATTGCCAGTCGCTAGGGGATCATTTGATGTTCCCATCCCCCAGGGGCTGGCTGTTGTTGCTGAAATTGGTATGTTCAGCAGGCGAACCATGCAGGTGGCATCCAAGTAGTCGTTGCTCTGCTCTTGGGGCCTTTGTGCAGTCCACTCATAGCCGACCCTGTGGTACGGCTCTCGCTGTATTTTGTTCTTCTGCCATGATGCTAGCTCCTGGGAGATCAAATGATGTTCCCCGCTCCCAGGAGCTGGCGTGCTGTCACTTGGTGACGAAATTGGCACGGTCGGCTTGCTGAACATGTAGACGGCATTGGATTGTGTTTGTGCCATGTTGCCAACCCCGGGGAGGTCATTTGGTGTTCCCAGCTCTCAGGGGCTGGCTTGTCGTTGGCGAACTGGCGTGTTCAGCAGGCTGACCATACAGGTGGCATTATAGCGTGTTTGTGCCACGTTTCCAGCCTCTGAGAGACCATATAATGTTCCCCGCTCCCAGGAGCTGGTGTCTTGTTGGTGTCCCTGTTGCCAGCCCCTAGGAGATCATGTAATGGTCCCATCACCCAGGGGCTGGCGTCTTGTTGGTGAATTGACTTATTCAGCAGGCTGACCATGCAGCCAGCTCCTAGGTGATCATATAATGTCCCCCATTCCCAGGAGCTGGCGTGTTGTTGCAAAGTGGCATGGCCAGCCCGCTGAACACACAGATGGTAGATTGTATACCATTTTGCCAGCCCCCGGGAGATGGTATAATGTTCTCATCTCCCGGGGGGTGGCTAACTTTTGTGTTGCGTGTTCAGCAGGCTGACCATGGAGCTGGCGTTGTTGGTGCCATTTTGCCAGCTCCTGGGAGATTATGAAATGCTCTCGGATCCCAGGAGCTGGCTGTTGCTGAAGGTGGTATGGTCAGCCTGCTGAACACGCAGGTGGCAGCTTTTGTGCCATATTGACAGCCCCTGGGAGATGATATAATGCTTGCATCTCCCAGGGGCTAGCGTCTTGTTTGTGAATTAGCGTGTTCAGCAGGCTGACCATGTAGCCAGCTCCCAGGAGGTCATATAATGTCCCTACTCCTAGGAGCTGGCTATTGATGTAGGTAGTATGGCCAGCCTGCTGAACACGCAGATGGCAACTTTTGTGCCATGTGCCAGCCCCCGGGAGATTATATAATGTTCTCATCTCCCAGGGGCTGGCTAATGTTCGTGCTGCGTGTTCGGCAGGCTGACCATGCAGATGGTGTTGTTTGTACCATCATGCCAGCTCCTGGGAGATCGTATAATGCTCTCCGCTCCCAGGAGCTGGCTTGCTGTTGGCGTAATTGCATGGCCAGCCTGCTGAACACGCAGACGGTGTGGTATAATCGTTCTCATGTGCGGGCAAGATGACGCCAATCGCACATCTACCCAGTTTCCTGGGTAGACGAAACAAAATATACCCGTATATAATATACTCTTGGGCCCAGACATCTGACTCGGACATGGCGTCGGAACAGTACTCGAACATTACGTCATTCGACGGCCGACAAGAAATCATACATCACCCCGAAGGGTGAACAACAAACAAATCGTACATGTTGTCTTTCGACAACCGACACAAATAAACATACACCACCCCGAAGGGTGGGCGAACAAGAAAATCGAACACAACTCAGAACAGGTACCCTGACAGAATGCCATGGGCGTCGACAATGGTAATCAAACAAGGGTACTCAAACAATGGGTTCTTGTTTCTGTGTCTTTGGTAACAGACACATGTCGCTGTAACTGTGCAGGTGAAGCGGCAATCATCGGACTTGCAAGCTTACTGCATTGTCGTTTTTGCGGACTCAAGAGGTGGCCCATTCGTCCCTCCCCTTGAGCCGCTGTCGTTGTACTTCTGCAGTTGAAGCGGCAATCGTCGGACTCGCCAGCTTCCTGCCTTGTCGTTGTAATATCATATTACCCATCAAGAGGTGGCCCATTCGTCCCTCCCCTTGATGGGGTGCGTACCACTTGCCATTAACCGAACAAAGTCCGATCTCCGGCAAAACAACGGAGGAAAACATAGACAATCCGCTCCACGAACGGAACATCATACCCGTGCTCCCACCGCAGTTCCTCCAGGAACTGTTCAGGGCCCTCCAAGGCGTAAGCCAGGTGTCCAAGGTGAGCTGCCCACAGGGGGAACGACAGCAGCATCACCATCACCATGACGAACACACCAAAGGAGAGCCATCGAGCTCCTGTCCACAACCCCCTCAGCAAAGCCGATCCCTCATGCATGTCTGACTCGCCAGACGCAGTGACGGCGGGTGGGTCGGAAGGCCAAGCTCCTGGCATTTGAAGACCAGAAGTCGCTGCCTCTTCTCCGCCCATTTCGTCCCGCTGTTCTCCTGCAGTCTGTTGAGCGCTGCAAGTCGGGTTTTCGGCGTCCTCGACCCTCTCGGTACCCTTCGAAACCCCCGCACGGGAATCTGTCCCTGTTGCAACGGCATTCTTGACCGAAGCGTCTTCGGGACTGGCGACCAGGGAAGAGGTGGAGATAATTCGAGAGGTTGCTGTGACCTGCAACCCCTCAGGAGAAGACATGATGGTAGGACGAGCTTGAGTCCTTGCCGCTCGCTTCGCAAGCAACACATCGAGGTGCGAACGGGTACCGGTCCGCAGGTTCGGAACAACAAGCTCATCCTCGGTCTGCCAAGTCAGGTCTGATTCATTCAGAGTCGGCTTAGTAACAGCAGGCACACTCAGAACTTCCTCAGCTGACGATCGCTCAGCCTGGGCTGACTTAGTTGGGGCTGGCTCACTAGGAGCAGGCGCACCCACAACTCCATCAGATGGGATGGACACAGTTGACGCGAGAGAAGTGTACTCAAGTACACCACCGGACACGGGCACAGTGGACCCCAAAACAGCTTGAGTCGGCTTGGGAACAGCTGGCGCACTCATAGCTGCCTCAGTGGGCACTTGCTCGGTCGAGACGGTCTCGGTGTACTCCAGAACAGTCAGAGTTGGCTGAGAAACAGCTGGCTCACTCATGACTGTCTGATCGGTCATAACAGACTCAGTGTACTCCAAAGCAGTCTGAGCTGGCTGCGAAACAGCTGGCACACTCATGACTGCCTGGGTGGGCACTTCCTCTGTTGAAACATGCACAGATTGAGCTGGCTGCGAAACAGCTGGCACACTCATTTCTGGCACTTTCGGGGCTGTGTTCATCACATATCCCTTAGAAAGGGGAAGCAAAAGCGATCCATTGGCTTCAACCATCTCTTTCGTGATCCGTTTCTTGCAGTTTGGTCCTTCGTCCTCATTGAACCCGACAATGCCCGCTCTCCGTTTCCGTGCAGGGAGATTGACGACTTCTATCACCCTCTGGCGCACGTAACGGCGACGGCTCCCGGTAAAACGGTCCCGCCGTTTGAATACGCGGGCGCGGTCGCTCGGCAACTTGGGGGTTTCCCAGGCAATCGCCACGCCTTCTGCGATTGTGTGACACAGGCGCGGCGAAATCGGAATAGGACAGGTATTGGCGGGATTTGGGGGAATCACGGCGCTGGATATCTGGCCAGCAACCATCAGGACATCATCGGCATTGGTATTCACTGCGGGAATGAGGGGGGCCTGACCGCAAGATGCCTGGCTCGGAGCCGCCGGGTCATCTTTGTTGGAGACTGTGATCATATGTGCTGGCTCCCCAACCCATTCCATCTTATTGTCAGTATCCTCGCCGTTCAAGGTTGCAATTTCGGAACAAAAGAGCTGGTCGTCGATTTCCATCATATCGTTGGTCTCCACTTGCTGGGGAGTTATGGTAAGGGTGGTAGCTGGTGCTTTTTGCACGGCTGCATTTCGGTCGCCCACCTGCCACTCATCTGCCTGCAACATGTGGGCGGCAAGTTCTTGTTCAGTGGCTTCAGTTGTAATATCCATGGGTGATCCAGCCCGTGATGATCTGGGACTATCCAATGACATAACGTCGGAAAGAATGCTGGGGCTTTCCGATTGACATCTGATAGAGCAGTCGACATCATCAACGTCGAGGCTCATATACCCATCAACCTTGTGATCCTCAGGACCAAGCGATCTCGGGCCACGTTCCTTTCCCTTGCCGAGCTCCTGCGGGTGAGGTTCAAATGCTTGCCCCTGGGAGCCTGGTTCCTGGCATCCCACGGCACGGCGGCGCGCAATGCCCACAGGGGGGGTCGCAGACTCAGCAATTGGTGCCTTGCTAGTCTGGACCTGACTTCCCCTTGTGCCCTGCATAGCCGCAGCAAGCATTTTCTCCATGTTTTTAAGAAGTCCTTTAACTCGGTCCTCCGCACCAGCAAGGCGCTTTTGACGCTGCAGATTGTATTCACTAGCTGCAACTGCTCGTCGCAACTCCTGGACATCGGCACGGTCCTTTTCGAGGAGTTGTCTGACACGTTGAAGGGCGCTTGTGTTGCCTTCGGCGCGTTCGAGCTCCTCGGACACATGGTCCAACTGGTCGTCGATGTTCTTGAATTGAGCATCAAATTCGCGAGCACGGTTGCTACTTGACTGGTGGACCATTGCATTGATTTGCTGCTGGTCCACAAATCGAGTAGTACTTCGCTTTTCGGCCACTTGAGATTGGAGCGATGCGGCCTGGGACCTGGCGCAGTCCAACTCCATCTCCTGGCGATAAATAGTGGCTTCAGCATCGCTTAGCTTTTCATTAAGAGCGCTAACTTCGCGCTGTGCCTGACTTGGTCGGGCACTGAAGGGGGAAGAATGGGCTGTGGCGGGGCCCACCAGGGGGGTAGTCCTGTGCGGAGGACCCTGGTTGATGAGAGAAGAAGAAGAAGAGGCAGTCGAAGAAGGACCAGGCATCATCTGGAAGCTAATGGGTCCATTGCGGGGCGGGGCGATCTTAGGGATGGCGGGGGTGGGGGCACCCGTCATATTGAACCCAATGACGCCGTTACGGCGGGCCGGTCCCTGCTGGGTTGCCATACTGAACTTTGAAAAATGTTAGATATGATGCTTGGAAAAGTTGCTTGCAAAGGTAGCTGGACTCACAGAAGAAAAGGTGACACAAGGAAGAGTGGGTCAGAGACTCAGAGAAATAGTCAATGGTTGCTACAGTGGAAGTGGTTAGAGACCATGCATGGAAAAAGAGAAGAGAAGGGCCAGAAAGACTTACACAGCAGAGACACGTCTTTGGAGATGCGTGAGAAGGTGTGAGAATAGGTCTTGTGACATGTGCCTGGAAACTGGACACACAAGGCTACGCGACAAGGTGTTAGAAAAGGTAGACAGGTTACTTGGAAGGATGGTTAGGACTAACCAGAAACAAGATTTGGAGATTGCTAGAGCTTTTGAAACAAAGCAGCGAAAGAAAACTCACGACGATGGAGAAGAGAGAGAGGGGAGAAGGAGAAGAAGGAAGAGAAGTTGGGAGCGAAGGGGAGAAGATATACCCAGGCCTCGACACACGACGTGAAGGTGAGGCTCTGTCACCCCATTCGTCAATCACCTTGCTCAATGATTTGGTCTCACCCTCTTAGACCAATCAATGGGCTTTCCCATTGTTCAATGCTGACAGGACCTTTCTTCAACAATGACTATTATGAAATCTCCAATAAAGAGAACAATGGAGTGTCTCTTTGGTCCCTTGAATGCTCTTTTTCTATGAATAGGCTGCCTCTTGAACAGTACAATCTACATTAAGCTTCTGTTCAATTCAATTATACCTTTCCTAGAATTAGCTCTGCGTAGACAGTCTCGGCGGGTGCACTTGATACACATGTAGACTTGAGTTCTGCGCCATGTGGTTGCGGCTGAATGTCGTCGGCTTGCCGGAAGGCCAGTGCACTCGGCTTCCAATGTTGCCGAATAGATCGTTCTTCCCAGGTTGAATGAAATCCTTGGCAGTTTCGTGCCACTGAGTATATCTAGTGTAGTCTATAATACAGCCATGGTGGACTGCTGACACCATAGCTCTTGGTCGAACGAGCGGTCTTGTCCCTGGGGTTCTATCCTCCGGAGTAACAACTTAGTGTCAAACGTCGATCTGCATTCTTTGATGGTTTTCTACTGCTCTAGGATATGAGTATGCTGAGTATCAGGCCCTCATACACTAGTAATAATTGCTAACAGGAAGACGATGTTCTCAGGGCCGCTCGTGGGGTCACCTAGTCCCTCGGTCCAACAAAGACCCCAAATAAGAACATGTTACGGGTCTGGTCTGTGACAAGCAAGCCAAGCACATCCAGCAACCAACCAGCAAGCTGTCGGTTCAAGTTTACACTGAGTCAAAGCAGATGCGGCCACCAGACCGAGTCTATAATGCGGACAATTACACAACGGCCTTGACAATTCGGAAACACCCAGGAGAGCTCTCGGTCGTGAGACGAGACCTTTACAATCATGCCCAATGATCTTTGCAAGGCAGTCAAGCTATTACACTGGGTTCTTTTTATCGCCACCGTGGTGGGTTACGGCGCCGAGGTACTTGTCCCCTTTGCCCAAAATTACTTGAAACATCCGCCGTTCAAAGGAGACTGACACTAGATGCGTTAGATTCCATACAAAAACATTGAGCAAGCCTCAAATCACCACCAGCTCCTACAGCAAATATCCGGCAAGTTGTCCCATCCGCCAGGCGAACGAGCTTCAACCTATCGATTCACCCCTAATGTTTCCACAACTTCGGCGATCAAGCCTCGTGGGCAGATGATGATACAAAAAGTGGGCATCCGGAGCTTCAGCGATATGTCCCACGACGGGAAGAAGAGGGAGGAGACCTATTCAAATGGGCAAGTCTCCGCCTAAAGGTCAGAGCATACCCATATCCTTTTCACATTCTTGGCTAGCAATGGCGAAGAATCCTTTTGCGCCGTTCCAGCGGGTATGGAACACGGTTTGTTTTGAATTTGCTATAGACTATTGTCACTGAAACCAGAGCCGAGAGGAGTGTCTTGCAGAGTGGAGACACAACACTTTGGGAATGATGTTTAGGAAGGATAACATCAGTTTTAAAACATGATGAATGAATACAATCTCTATCTGCCAGATCCAGTGTAGTGATACGTAGTAGAATTTGTCCAAAATATAGAAGTCCGAAAATCCCTGGTGTATTATCAATGTTTCGCGCATTGTTTCATTTTCTCAAAGCTTAGACTTCTTGCCAGTCACGTTTGGTACCTCATCTCCTGAAAGTAAGAAGTCCGGGTAAGACAGGCTTCCACCGGAAGCACCACCTGCTGACATGCGCCAGTTTGCACCATCGACTGTTTATGTGTCAGTATGGAACGTTCATAGTGTTCTTCTTCGTTATCTGACAACTCACCAACAAGCGTTTGACCACTGACATAGCTGCCAGTGTCTGAGAAGAGATACACGGTAGCGTCAGCGATGTCGCGGACATGGCCAAAACGGCCGAGCGGTTGGGCCTTGGTATAGGCTTCCATGGCATCTGATGGCAGGAGGCGTTCCAAGCCCTAATAAATGGTCAGTCAATCAGTTTTTGACACAGGAAGAACAGTATTGCGAATTATACTAACCTCAGTCGATGCAATAGGGCCCGGTGCAATGATGTTAGAAGTCAACCCGCGAGGACCATACTCGATCGCAACACTGTTCGACAAGGAATCGATACCGGCTTTGGCGACGGATACATGGGTCTGGAAGGGCATACCCCGGTAGTGAATGGTGGCACTGACGAAGATAATTCTTCCGCCAGTTCCAATCGGTGATGGTTGGACTGGATGGTTGTCAGTGCCAATGATACACTTATGGTTGGATTCACCGAATGGTGCACTCACGAGTCTTTGAGTCCATTCTGTGTTTGCTTGCTGACTCTTTTAGGTACGGAAGAGTTGCCTTGAGGGTGTTATAAGAGCCCAAGACGTCAATATCCATAACTGATTTGAAGGCATTAACCGAAAGTTGCTCGATCGAGGCGAGGAAGTTACCCGCCGCTCCAGCACTGTCACATGCTATTAGTATGAAAATCGAAGACTGGGATCGAGTTAATGTATCGACATACATGACGAAGTCAATACCTCCAAGCTCCTTGACACAGCGCTCAACTGCTTGCTCCAAACTCTCGAGCTTGCGCACGTCCACGGAACCAATCCCAATCACCTTAGCACCGGGTCGCGCTGTTGCGATGTCCTGGGCGACGCGCTCAGTCTTCTCAACATTGCGGCCAATAATGCAGGCGTTGGCACCAAGGTGTACTAGTGCCCGGACCTGGGCACTGCAGATAGTGCCAGCGCCACCTGTGCAGAATACCACTTTGTTTGCTGAACCAAGGAGTTAGTAGGATTGCGCAGTGATAATGGACTAGCGAACTCACCGAAGATCCCATCCTTCCAGGAATCACTCAAATATTCTGTCTTGGGCAGCGGCATTCTAACTACTAGTTACGAACTGAAGATATTGGTTTAAAGATTGTGGGGGAATTGGGGATGTTCACCTGGGCAGGAGGTCGTGGTTTGATGATACCCGCTTCCCCACAGTTGGACCTCGGCTCCACGGCTTTGTGCATAAAATGCATAAGAGATTACTGATCCAGAAATACAAAGCCCTACAAGGAATTATTCTAAAGCTGAAACAGCCAACACATTCTTTAATGAGCTGTATGGTGAGAAGACTGGCTATAGTTAGTTCACATAGTCTTTATCCCGCGTTTGCATCACCCTCTAGGGACCTAGGGCTTCTTCATAGACAGTATCAGCCCATACCTATAAACATTTCCTCTGTTGAAGTAACCAGCCAGCTGGACATATGGAATCACCAGAGTGAAGTTGGTTCGCATCTTTGATATTCCTCTCACTAACTCGGGACAGTTGGATTATGGACTTTTCCCTCTATTGTTGCATCCCTTTGCCTCCGGCCGCGCCGAGATATTAAAGAGCATGGTATATATATACTCTAGGAAACCGAGTGTTTCACCGTTCGTTATCTTACCACATACGTGAGTGTTATATACTGAATACACTGTTTTTATATTGAGCTGACACTATCTAGAAAATAATTTATTTCTGAAATATACTAGAAGAGCTTTCAAGTGGCAGAGGTTATCGGGTATGTAGGTATCAACGATTTATGTCCTGTCCAACGTACGAGTGCATAAATAGGATAGAATATCAAATAAGATACATTATAGACAAGACTTGTATCTACACATATATAGCTACTAATTTTACTGTGGAAGAACATAGGTAGTTATAGATTCTCATTGCGATGAAGAACAGCTGCCCGCTGATTGGCTGGCGTGGAGGCGGACCGCGACGTCACCAAAAAAGAACCGTTCCTTCTTTTCAATGTTGACGTGAATCTTCAACTCAACTACTCACTTCGGATCTTGTTATCTTCAGCTCTAGGACAAGTGCTTGTTTTTGAATTCTGCAACATGGCCTGCCCCATCAGTGTCAGCAAGTTTGTTGGCACTGTCTCCCTTGGTCTTCTTACCGTACGTCAATCGCATCTATCGCATCATAAAATAATGATCAGCAAGTATTAACAACTCCTTTCAACTCTACAGGGCCTCTCCTACTCCACATCATCCATCACAATCCCAGCTCTGCAGCTCCTTCCAACAGCGACAACCGCCGCCCGCTCCCTAAACGAAGTGAAGCGCTTAACGCGCCGATATGCCCTACGCCTCTCCTTCCTGGCCAATTCCTGCTTCTGTTTCGCATGGTGCCTCTCATCTCCGCGTCGCCGACACCCATACATGGTCTGGCTGTGGGCATTCTCTACAATTAGTGCCCACGGTGTTGATTTCTGGTTCAATCGTCACCTCGGCTTCAAGAACTGGGCGTCAGCTGTGATCCGCGATGTCTCCCACTTCTCCCTAGTCCGGGACTTGAACACAAATAAGGATGAAGACCTTGTTGTGGTTGAAGCCCAGGATGACGTGAACGGTGAGACCGTTCAGCGCGAGATGGACCGGGAGCGCCGGCTCAACCGAGCGCGCACTTGGTTGTCTGGTATTGCGCTTTCTATTGGCATTGTTGGTCTTTGGGGTGACAAGAGGTGATTTTTCTTCCGAGTCAAGAGGGCCTGTCTTTCTTTACGGTGAAACCACTGCTTTTGTTCCATGTCTATTGTGTGGACAAGCCTTTTTCGGTACTGTTTCATTGATCACGTCTGATGTGTTTCATGTCCGATACCTTTTGTTCTGTTCTCCTTCTCTATTGCGCCTATTTTCTTGTACATTCTGATGGAAACAACCTATTAGTAGGAATGGAGTAGCATCTCAACTGAATTCTGCATACTCGAACTATATCTGCGAAATCGCTAATCTCACCAGCTGAGTTGAGGCTTACAAACTCACATACTTATCTAGCCTTTACTAGGGCTCTGTAAATGTAGAGGTAGGACAGAGAGTCAATATGGGAACCGACACTTCAATTTATGTATGCACTTTATACATCGCGCCCATATTAGGCACATCAGACCAAAAGAATGTCAAGACAATAATTGCATACAGAGGAAGAAGATATACCGTCTGAAATAGAAGGTTTCAACTGGCCAGCATGCACATGCCAATCTTTCTCGTCCCTCTCTCAATAGTACCCAAATCCTGCTTGAATGACTAAGTAGTTATGGCCCTAGAAGAAGAATTATAACAGGCAGAGTGAATATAGAGTGAATATAGAGTAAATATGAAGTGAAGAGAAAGTGAGGGTAAAGCGAGGACAACTAGATGAACCATGCTCATATAGGTATATACGATCTGGGTACTTGGAAGAAGATGTACCAAAATGAAATATTGAAATGGACAATGAAGATGATTATATAAAGAAAAACTGTAGAGGACTACCTCGGGAGAGACAGTATTTGCGTAGCACGTAGGACTATAAATACTATCTTCCTTCTTCTTCTTCTTCTTCTTCTTCCCCATTGTCGTCGGTTTTCATTCTCTGCTTTATTTCCAAAGCGCTAGAAATTTGCGAATCTTGTTTCTGGTTAGTACGTACTGACCATGCCGTCATTGGGTTCCTTTCGTTTTTACTTACTTCTCGTTTTTACTTACCTCTCGTTTTTACTAACATGGTTTCTATATCTATAAATAGCCATTGCTTTCCCTCCTTCCTCCTTCTTCCTTATCTTCCAACTTACAACCTCATCCCGAGGTCTACATTCCAGCTGACCAACGCCAAAGGGCATAACTTCACTCCATTGCTATTGACTTTTCTTTCTTTTTCGTTCTTCTCCTCATCTCCTCTGCTTCTCTTCCGTGCACATGGGATCCTTAGGGATCAAATGATCTCGAAACATCGACGCCCAATTCCAGATCTTGGATGATTGATTCGGCCAGTTTTCTTAAACTCGCTTAATGAAAGACTAACCGATGCTGAAGCCATCATCTATCGCCAGGAGATGGAGTTGGACTGCGCCAGGTCCCAGGCCGCATCGCTCCAATCTCAAGTGGCTAAAGAGTGAAGTACTACTCGATTCGTGGACCAGCAGCAGATCAATTCTATGGTCCACCAGTTAAGTAGTTACCGTGCTCGCGAAATTGATGCTCAATTCCAGAACCTGGATAACCGATTGGACCAGGTTTCTGAGGATCTTGAACGTGCGGAAGGTAATGCAACCGCCCTTCAAGATGTACAGCGAGCTATCCAGAAGGATCGCAGAGACCTGCAGGATCTACGACAGATAGTGGTTGCCGTCGAGTATAACCTGCAACGCCAAAAGCACCTTGCGGGTCCGGGGGACCGAGTCAAAGGCCTCCTCAGAAATATGGAGAAAATGCTTGCTGCTGTTATGCAGGGCACAAAGGGAAGTCAGGTCCAGACTAGCAAGGCACCAATTTCCGAGGGTGGGCTCGAGTACTGTAGGTCCATCCGAAAATTCAAGTCTTCTTTCCAATGATTCCCACAAAACAGATATCTGGAGTGAGTAATGAATGAGAACAGTCTCGAGTAATCTATGATGTTTCTGCCTACAAAAATAAAATCAAGAGCCCTAGGGTGCTACGCGAGACCACTATGGAGTAAACATGAGGTTGAATAATGGCGATGATCGACAGGGACTCAGGTAAAGTGGAGAGGGACAGGGAACCAAAGCATGGACAACGTGGGGGTATGACGTTAAAAAGATGTGCAAAATTTATAACGATTATTTATAGAAATACATGAATGATAACTCAGTCGCATTGTCTACTACCATGGGGCATTGAGGGAGAGATGATTCTGTCATACCAAATATAGGTAGGATTGCAGTGATCACTGGTTAAATATACCAGGAACCCCTATTTACTGTGGTTAATATCGAGAAAGAATAATTAGCAACCTGGGGCTTAATGAGGGCATAAGGGTCATAGCTAGACCAATGATCTGAAGAAATGAAATTAATCCCAATACGCTAAGGATGAACGGCGGAGTTGTCGGAAATGAGCCCCTTGGCGCAAAAAGAATAAGAAGGTCATGACAGCGCATTTTATGTTTTGGTAAATAAAATAACATTCATTTAGAAAATAACAATAGATTTGGAAACATGGTCAACTTCACCATCGTCAATGGCCAAATTTACACGCCAGGCCTGGCAATTGTCGATGCGCCACAGCCTAACACGCCCCTCGGAGGAGGTAAGTCAATACGCCGAAACCTATCAGCTCCCTACTAATTTTTTTTAGACAACCTGCAAGTCGCAATCGACGTGTCCGGGAATGGTCAACTACCATGGCCAGCATCAACTAAACCCGACTCATCCACCCGCTTCCACGACATCACACTCTTTTTAACCTCTGAGTCGCACAACTTCACCATCTCCAACGGCACAAAGCCTGCATCTAACACAAGCTACGTCGGTCCCGTCTTGGACCTAGAGCCCTCATCAACCGTCAAACATGTGAACTGGATTTGGCCCGAATGCCTCGTGGGAGACGGCTCTGGCTCAAAGGACTCGGCACGCGGAGCATACAACATCTCCATGCACCAATCTTTCCGCTGGAATGGGACCGACTATTATACTGTCTTTGACCTGCCGATCTCTGTCACCAACAGTATATCCAAGAGTGATGACCGGATCGACTGCGATCTGCTGGAAAACAAGCTTCTTAGCGCGGCGGAGATCGACAAGAGCTCGGATTCGCTGCCTGGGCAGCCGTGGGTTGAGGATGGAGTTAGTACAACGGTATCGAGTTCCAATGCTACTCAGACCGGGGCGGGTAATCGGGGTCATTCAGGATTCAAGAGAGTAGCTGGCATTGCGATTGCCGCGACGGCTATTTTGCATTTCTTGGGTTGAGACTTGTTCCTGGATATTGTGGGTTTTATCCCTTGTATACTACTTTTTATCATTGTGTTTGTCTTAAAATTAATATAGAAACAAGGATTTTTATACTTGCACATGCGACTAATCATTTGTACTCCGTACATATCTAAGTAATATGAATTTAGGTTCAAATATAGGTATGACAATTGATTCATGGCCGATCGGCGAATAACGCTTTTGCTCCTTCCGTTGGTGATCATCGTGGATATTTCTACTTTGGGAAGGAAGTATACATTCTCATTTTGATTTCGCACCTGGACAGTATCCCTTGATTACCTAGCTATCTCCTAGAAATACCCTATATACTCTATCAAGGGTCTCTTCCACACCTCCAGTCAAGTATGTCAGGAACATTAGATCGCGCGCATCGCAACCGACTCCGACGTTGACACCGACCCAACCGTCTCCTAGCTTCCTCACTTCCCATGACGATTTTTTCGGCCTCCCGACGAGTTCTCCGGAACCGCATCGCCCGAGCTCTGATCATAATCTTCGCAATATGGAACCTAGTCGAAATACATGTAATTCAGCGCCGAATTTACGAAATCGATCATGTTCTCCGACACCGGCCGCAAAATCAAGAACGAATATATATTGCAAGCATCAATTGGAACAATGAGCTCATTCTACGCAGTCACTGGAGCAAGGCACTCACACAGCTGGTCTTGAAGCTTGGTCGAGAAAATGTGTTCATCAGCATATACGAAAGTGGGAGCTATGATAACACGAAAGGCGCGTTGAGGGAACTGGATTGGGAACTTGAGCGGATGCGGGTGCCACGGAATATCACTTTATCACCTGTGACACATGAAGATGAACTAGCTGCACCCGCGCGGGGAGAGGGATGGATTCGCACCCCCGATGGAAAGAAACAACTCAGACGGGTACCGTATCTAGCGCGGATACGGAACTTGAGCTTGCTGCCTCTGCAGGATCTTGCAAGGCAGGGTATCACTTTTGATAAAATCCTGTTTCTGAATGATGTTGTTTTCACGGTTCGTTTGAAGTCGCTTACCTTCTGTCAAATATGCCTTCTAACGACTGCTCTGTTTGTTGATCAGCCGAATGACGTCCTCGGACTTCTGAATACTAATGACGGCGAATACGCTGCTGCTTGCTCGTTGGATTTCTCTAAGCCTCCGAATCACTATGACACATTTGCTCTCCGGGATAGCAAGGGCCATGAGCCCATCATGCAGACATGGCCCTATTTCAGCTCTGCGGCATCGCGAGATGCAATAAAAAATATGTCTCCTGTTCCTGTGGCGAGTTGTTGGAATGGCATGGGTATGCTGACCTCCATTCTAGAGAGCATTGTATAAACTAACATACCTCTAGTGGCAATGCCCGCCAGTCCATTCATCGCCAGCGAACCACTTCGCTTCCGAGGTATCCCCGATTCATTAGCGAAGTATCATCTTGAAGGTTCTGAGTGTTGTCTCATCCACATAGACAACCCACTATCAATAGAGAAAGGTGTTTATTTGAACCCTTTGGTGAGGGTCGGGTATAGCGGCGCTGCATATGCAGCTATTCATCCGATGATGAATTGGCTCTCTGCTAAGCGGGTTCTACAAGGGTTGTGGGTCAATCAACTACGCCGCTTGGGTATCACTTCATGGTTGAAAGAAGTAATAGTTCGAAGGCGGCTAGACAGCTGGAGAGCTTTGAATATTGGGAATGAAGAGCGTGGGGAACTTTGCATTATCAATGAGATGCAAGTTCTGCATCGATATGGATGGGCCCATGTTTAAGGAAGAGTAAGTGACACATTGTTTGTATATATCGTCTCATGTGGCCAGTCCATTATCATTCCCAGGTGCTTATATTATGTTCAACATCCTCACCTCGGACAAAATATATACTCCAAATAGAAGAGCAATACGGAGGTGATTTGGAGATCAAGTTCTGGTAGACTGATCTACTATTTATAGATGGTACGCTATGAGAGGGTCACAAACCCACAGTACCTCAGAATACAGTCAAATTTTAATCTGATCTCCACTTATCTTTTTTCAAATCAACGTTTTATACCTCCGAAGCCGGCCCACCTGAGCAAAAACGATCGATTATGTAACCCGAGCAAGTCGCCCCGTTTGGGACTGTATCAAGCAGCAAAACCCCCACTTACCTTTCATAAACCATCTAAAATCCAAAATACACATAATGGCAACAATCCAAATCCTAGACGGAGGCCTTGGCACCTCTCTAGGTGATCTATACAACATCAAATTCGATTCCACAACAACCCCACTCTGGGCCTCACACCTGTTAGTGAGCGACCCAGCAACGCTGCAAGCATGCCAACGCGACTTCGGCGTCGCCGGAGTAGACGTCCTCCTAACAGCAACTTACCAAGTTTCCGCTGAGGGATTTGCCCGGACCAAAACCCCTCAATTCCCAGACGGGATCCCACGCAGCGCAGTAGGGCCCTTCCTACAGAAAGCCGTGGACATCGCCGAGCAAGCGAAAGTGCGCGAGAGCGCAAGCGTTGCGCTCAGCCTTGGCCCTTACGGTGCGTGTATGATCCCAGGCCAGGAGTACAGCGGTGCATACGACGCCGAGCACGACTCTGAGGAGTCATTGTATTTGTGGCACCTGGATCGGTTGCGCATGTTTGCTGAGGCGGATGGGAAGCTTGTGTCGCGAGTTCGGTATGTTGCGTTTGAGACGCTGCCGCGACTTGACGAGGTTCATGCTGTGAGGAGGGCGATTCGGGATTCTGCATTCGATGTGCCGTTTTGGATTGCTTGTGTCTTCCCGCGCGATGATGATTTCTTGCCTGATGGGAGCTCCGTGGAGGAGGTTGTGCGGGCTGCTCTTGCGCCTTTGGAGGGTGGGGCTGTTCCCTGGGGAATTGGGGCTAATTGTACTAAGATGCATAAGCTTGGTGGGCTTGTTGATTTGTTTGGTCGCGCTGTTGCAGAGGGTATTGCTAAGGAGGAGATATCTGCTGTGCCGAGCTTGGTTTTGTATCCTGATGGGACGAATGGGGAGGTGTACAATACTACGACGCAGATCTGGGAGAAAAATGATGCTTTGAGTGATAATGTGAGTGATAACGTGAGTACTACCTCCAGGTGGGAACATTGGAGATGACAATTATGCTGACGTGAAAATTTAGTCTTGGGAGGAACAGTTGGCCCAGGTGGTCAATGAAGCCTACGAAAAGGGCCATTTCAAGTCATTCCTTGTGGGCGGGTGCTGCAAAGCTTCACACCACGATATTAAGAAACTTGGACAGCAGTTCAAGATTCAATAGACATTCTGAGCGCGAATTTTATTTGAGAATGAACTTGAAAATGCAAATTGAATAAAATAACCTTTATACATCGCTAATGTTGAATAGCCGGTTTGGCATGCAAATATTATACATCATAAAAATCATCTAAAAGAGCCAATCGGTGAACTTTGTCCACCAGTTGTTGTGCGGGTTTTCAACCGGCTTGATCTCCCCATCTTGGAGACGGCCCGACCATAGGTCGATATTGGCAGCGCGCTCAAACTGTACATTGAACATGTTAGCGACTCTTCGTGAAAAAGCAGAAATATTAAGAGGGGCTGAACTAACCTTAGTGCGATGCCAGAGCTTCCAGCAAATGATGGGAACGATGAAGATGGGGATACCAATGTACGACGCAACAAAGTCGGACGTATTCCAGTTGCCCTTCAAAAACACGGGGAAACCAGCAACTAAAGTAATGATAGTGGAACCGATAAAGCCCACCCATGCGGCATAAGGTTGAAAGGGTGCCTTCCATGGGAGGGTGTCTCGGCTCACATTTTGTTTCTTCATTGCGGCAAAGAAACGAATGTAGCAGACGCAAAGGGTTGCCCAAGCAATCAAACCGGCAACGGTGCTGAGGTTCAGAAGCCAAGTGAATGCCTGCGCTGCACCACCGCTGCCAAGACTCAGGTACGCCAGCGGCCCAAAGAGCCAGGCGGCAATAACAGCCACATATGGCACACCATTCTTGTTCACGCGTCCGAAGATCTGGGGCAGCTGGCGGTCGGTAGTCATGGCGACAATCATGCGCGATCCGACCCAGCAGTATGAGTTACCGGCAGACCACGCGGCAATGAGAATGCATGCATTCACGATAGAGGGCAGAGCGTTGATGCCGGCGTTGGTGATGGCAATCACAAAGGGTGAGCTGTTCGCGTTGCCAGAGCCGGAGACGAGACCTGCGGCTCTTGGGTCCACGACCATACCGATGAGAAGTGCTCCGAGAATGTAGAAGAAGGCGATGCGGTAAGTCACACGGCGGGCGGCCTTAGGAATGGCACGGTGAGGATCAACCGATTCGGATGCGGTAATGACGACAGTCTCGACACCAATGAAACTGAACGAGGCATTGACGAATGACGACAGGAAGCCGAGGAAGTGGCCTGTCGGACCGGTGATACCGTTGTAGTTTGTCCATGGTCCAGGGTTATTCCAGTAGCGGAATCCAATGGCATCGCCGTTGGGACCGCCGCCTGCAGTAATGACAATGGAAACAACAACCAAGCCAAGGAAGCAGAGGACCTTGACGGCACCTCCAAAGACTTCGGTTTCACCATAGAATCGCACACTCATCAAATTGATGGCCAAAATGAGCACCAATCCAACAGTGATCACCACAGCAGGCGTGAGATCCGTCCAATATGAAACAATAACGGCAGCCGCTGAGACTTCCGAGGCGATGGCGATTGTGTAACAGTATCCGTATGAAATAGCGAGGGAGAAACCAACAGACGGATCGATAAATCGAGTCGCCCAGTGAGGGAAGGATCCAGCAGTCGGGAAAAGCGTTGCGAGTTCGGCGATACTTTGCATGACGCACCACAAAACACCTCCCACAATAATATACGCGAGCAGCAAACCAGCAGGGCCAGCTTTAGCATAGGCAGCGCCAGTTCCCACGAACAAACCAGTGCCGATGCCACTGCAGAAGCCGATCATGGTAACCTGGTAATTGCGCAGGCGTCGCTGCAAGGCCGCGCGACCGCCGACATTGATCTCGAATTCGCCTTTGGGATTCGACTCGTAGTCATCAAAATCCCCACCAGGAGCTGGCTGGACCTTGTCGTCGGTGAAGCTGGACTTGTCCATGTTGTCGTGTGTAGCGCCGATCATCCAGGCCAAGTCTTTCCCCGTGAATTATACCCCGGAGACTTGAGGAGGGATCAGGGTGCTTATATGGGAAACGGTTTTTTTTTTCCCCGAAATATTATTCAGTCGCGTCAAAGCACGACATCTTGGCCTTCCATTCATGCTGATGTTTTCTCCACAGTGGAGAAGAATCATTGGGCTACAGAGCTCGGAGTTCGGCCTCTCTCCACTTTTATGGGAGGCGATTGACTAACTTTTTCTTCTTTGCCATAATCGCGAATCGCGATGGGACCGATCGGAGCGATAGGAGGCAAATACATAATCGATATTGATTTGTTAGTTTCATGGTGCCCCAAGGATCGCTGACATATGGCCAGTAGGCATTATGGCCACTAAATTAAGTTTTTTTCCAAGGTTCCAATGTGTAGAGAGGCGATGAAAAATGTATGCATCTGGAAGCATGCCACGTGAGGCGCCGGATACGTCCACACGGGTAGATCTGAAAAATTCAAGCTTCACGCCTGAAATATGAGGCATTAAATTTCAGCCTTAGGCATTAATCCCGAGATCGGACCTTTTTCCCGCAAATTCTGAGGGCAAGATACTCCGTAGTTACTCCGTACTATTGGAAATATACCAATCCTGGTCGAAGGTAGAAAAGCTTAATTTACTGTTTATGTCTACCTATTATAGCCTTCGTGTATATCTAAGAAAGCCCTGTCGTCCACAGGCGAGGACATCGGCTGTATAAGTGTCGGACTATCCTTGTTGGTCTAATAATATGGATTCAAGCAATAATCACACCTCCAAAAGGTACGAGATGCCAATCAGTTATATTAGTCCGAGCAGGAACTTAGTATGTCATCAAATGTTCCACAAGGTTGCGATATATCCAGAAATCATCGTGCAGTACAATGAATGGTGCTGTACGGAGTAGTCAGTTGCAGGGCTAAGGTCGCAGGCGAATAGATAGCGGATTCTCTACTATATTTTGAGTTTTTGACCTCATACTAGTGCTTAGTAGACCAGCATACTAGTTTAATTTTTTTATTCACCTGCGACTTTAACTCTGGTAATTGCAATGAATCACTGAAGAGCAGTTTGATGTTATTTTCTTCGGCCACATTTTACCCCGCACCTTCAACGCCCTATTTTACCGGAACCATGCCTTTGCCATGGTGTTTTCCATTCAAACAGGGCAAATCAAAGATCGCGAAGACAGTAAGAACCCAATGTAATGAGATGTCTATATCTCCAGTGCTTTGTCGATCTACTAAGACTACCTACAGTGTTCACTTCCACTAGATGAGGAGACTGGCTTGAAGTTGCTTTATGAGGGGCCAACTCCAAAAATCGAGTTTGTACAATCTGTCTCTATTACAGACTTCCATAAGTAATAGTTGATGCAGTATTATCGCTGTCCATGGACTGAACGGCCACCGCGAAAATTCATGGACGGCAGCCAATGGGGTAAACTGGCTCCATGACCTGCTGCCAGGTGATATGCCCAACATTCGAGTCCTTTCCTGGGGTTATAGTTTAACTACTGCGGCAAACTCCCATGAGACATTATCCCAGCAAAAAGTATCGGAGCAACTAGTCTGTGACTTGTGGGAAATGAGATCATCAACAAACGTACAAACTCAACTAACCAAGCTAGAAAAAAAGAATTAATACTGACAGAGACAATGCAGACAATCAATCGTCCGATTGTATTTATTGCACATAGTCTTGGGGGACCCATGGTCAAAAGTGTAAGTTTCGCCATTCTACAAAAACAGAGTTGTCATTGATCATCGCTAGGCCCTGCTTTATGCCGACTCAGCACAAGGAACCCCTACTGTGGACCTTCGTAGCATCAGACTATCAACCCGTGGGGCGATATTCATGGGAACACCTGAGCTAGACTCAAGGCTCATTGGACTGCAAAGCTACTTGGCTACTGCTCAAGGGTCTGAGCAGGAGTCTAGCGATATCTACAAGGAAGCGCACTGGTTGGTGACTACATTGCAAAGCTACCCATCGATAAGCCAACAATTTTGGACTTTATTTGTTCATGAGAGACCTGACTCTCTGTCAGCAAGCAGTGCATTGGACCAGGTAAGAGAATTATTACCAGCCAGCCATGGACTATTTGCTTACACTGTATAATCTTTGAACAAGACTGCGTCGTCCTCGACACAAGAGAATTCGTCCCATATTTTCATCCAAGCTGATCATGGTGGAATGATCAAGTTTGAATCATCATTGGACGAGAGTTATCTGAAAATCAAAGAGCATTTGGTTCATGTTGGGAAGATGCTGAAATGAGCAAATGACACCTGAATTATCAGATCTGGCGAGCTCTTTCCAGCTATTGATCCTCCTCATGAACTAAAATATAACAGGATTTCCACGAAAATCTCTCTACCAGAAATTGGGGCTAGTAATCAGGATATCGAGGCAAACGCATACTTTATGAGACTACTTGGAATTTCAAGTGCACAGTCAGAGTTTCTAGTCAAGCATGGCTTACCAGACCTCGCCATGCTCTATAAGAATACGAAAGATACAAACCTATTATCGGGAGCACGAACTCTCTAAGCTGTAAGAAATGGTTACTTTCAAGTATATTGTGAGCAGCTAATCTATCTTATTACCTTGAATTACGCTAATATATTAAAAGGATACCTTATCAGACAGTAAACTCTAGCCTGCCTATACATATTTAATTAAAAGTATCACAAATAATGTCTAAGAGCAGCCTATATAGGACAGCGACGATATAGTTATTATAAGCGGAAGCCTAGAGCTTCCGTGTAATATTTTTACGAGATTTCTCCTAGGTAAATAGCTTAGGTCTTAGGCTATTATAGCAGCGATATAGATATCAGACAAACCAGCCTATATCAGATATGATCTTTCTACTCCCCTCCATCATATCACGGAATATAGTCGGCACCAAAGTTATGAAACCCTACTAGCGGTCTAGGTAAAAGCAATCACTAAGTATCGAGAAGAAGTCAAAGAGACTGGGGAATCTATGGTTCATTTGTTTACTACAGCCTGCTTAACCGCAAGGATAACCACTTCACGCTCCTAGAAACTAGTTAGTGACAAAGGTTGATTTGGCAGTACGATTCAATAGTAAGGCCTAAGACCGTTACAGGCACAAAAGGCACACAGAGAGTGAACAAGTGAGTGATGTATCATTGGATGCTACTATTCCGATGCTGCCCGATATTCTTGACTGTATGCTAGACTTTCGAAGCAGAGGAAGATGTTCCTATGCAGCTGGATCTCGCCTTCTACTCCTAAGAATTCCTACATTCATGATATATTTTGATGATATTTGTGGTCCGTTTATCTAGTTAGGGTTTAGCAACCCATAAAATAAAACTTCTAAGAAGCTGTTTACATATTGGTCGTGGTCACCGAATGGACTGTCAGCGAGTCAAAAAGCTAAAACTAAGTAGGCAAGGAGCATCTCTGGGCCTAGATTGAAAGTTTTATCCGGGCAGGCGTATAGGAGATAGACAAAGAAGCCACTAAAATGTGCGTTACTTGCATATAGTATTAGACGATGAGCATCATACCTACAAAGTTCGGGCATACAGAACAAAGAGCAAAGTGTACGACACACAGTTCAAGCCTTACACAGGAATGTACGAATCCGGAAAGGCAAGATAAGTCGCCTGCACCGGCGCAACCACAGCATCGTAGAATTGCTGCCGGAATTTCGAGAAAGTAAAATCCTGGTAGGAATCCGGCCCCTGAAACGCGAACTTCACACACCGTTCCGTTGCATATCCATAAGAGTCTCCTGCTACACGGTACACCTCATTCAACTTGCTCAGCGCAGCCTTATAGTCATCGAGTAGAGAGGCTGGTGTCACGCTCTCACCGGTCTGCCGGCACTCCGCAAATGATTTGTTGATGCAGAGCTCGATGAGGAGAATACCGAGTGTGAAGACAGTTTTGTTGGGAATTAGATGGTCAAAGTCCGTTGCAACCAGCTGCTCCGGGCTTGTTGGCGGTAAAAATGTATATGATGCACACGGGTACCGGGATAAAATTTCCCGGCCGCCTTGGTTTTTCTCGAGAAAAATATTCGCTTGCTTTTCGTCCCAGTGATGGCCAAGCCAGGGACTGCCACTCAAGTGTAAGACTGACCAGGCAGTGGAGGCAGCGATGCCGTACCTATGTTTTGTAGAAAGTGAAATATAAGGGGTTTGCCGTTGAGCTGACTGCTCATAGGATGAAAGCAAAGACTTGAGAGGAACTGCTTTGATAATTTTTGAGAAATCTGGTTGGCTGTAGTCGAGAGAGAATTGTCGACCTTGGTCCTCGTCTGGGTCTTTGAGGAAGCCTGTAAGAGTCGATTGATTGCATTCTGTGCTATGACAAAGGCTGCTTATTTCGGTACTCGCTGTGGTTGAAACGGCCGTTGGTGCCGTTAATAAAACCGGCGGAGTTTGTGGGGGTGAGGGTGTCCGGGACAGTAAGCGGAATTTGACATTTGACATCTTGGATCGGAAGGAAGAATATAGGGGAGAAGATAGGGGAGAAGCTATAGCGGGAGTAGGCAGTGGTGTCAGTAAACCAGGAACCGAGCTGGCTACCTTGCTGGGAGCATGTGGTGTAATATGAAGCTTTCGCCATAAATCAGGCAGCTGGGGTGGTTGTGAGTTTGTTCCGTACGAGAGGGCCACTTTGAAAGTTTTGGCTGCATTAGATTCAATCGCCTCCCAGTCAAGGTCGATGGCAGCTTGGTGAGGTGGTGAGCAGGCACAACGGAATGCAAATTCGAGTGCTCGGTGAAGAGAGCTTAAGCACTGACGGATTGAATTGCAACGCTCAATATTGAAGCGGCGTTTGAGATATTGGACTTTGCCACTGTCGTCTTCCGCGGGCAATTCTGGTTTTTCAACAGACCTCCTTAAGTCTTCATTCCAATGCCTAAGGTCCTCGATCACTTTATTGCGCTTTTTTGTGCTAAAGCTATGTTTCACTCGACGCCATTCCCATTGGGCCCTATCTTGAAGGGCATTCGGCTAATCATACAGTCGCAGGTCAGCTCGGCTTTAATCTTTAGCAACAGCACTTTATACCTTTCCATTAACGTCGATATCTAGGCTCTTCAAAAGCCCAGCAGTAACATCGTCCATACGTTGAACGATAAAAATAAGTTCGTGAGAGATACTGGAGAATTTAGTATCAAAGCATTTGCGTAGCTCTTCCCTCGATGGCTCATCAAGTCCAAGATTGCAAAGAGTCGTTTGTAGTTGTCGATTTTGCAAAATCAGGTTGGTACGGAAAGTCTCTATTGAGGTGCGGTAATTGTGAAAGGCCTGGAGAGGCTCCACATACTTCTCAAGAGCCCAAATTGCGATTGGTAAACCGCCCAAAACAAGACCAGCGATTTCAGCCATGGCTGTAGTACATCCACCTCCTGAATTATAGTCAGCTACATTCTCGTCACGTGGGCTATCTCGCTCACCTGCAGTTCCAAAGGTTTACTCCAACAGTAACGAATAACATCTAACTGAACTTGCCCACAAAGCATCAGTATAGCTCGCTGCCTATTGATGCACCGATGTATTGGAAAGCCTGCCGGGAGAGGGCGGTCATCGACGTTGCAGAGTCTGTGGTTGAGGGAGGGGCTATATCTGCTAACATGCAATCTAGTCCTACTGGGGTCAATGCGGCGGGTGGTAGACTGGAATTTTCATGATGCACGTGGCAGAATCTGATTTGGCCATCCAGTGCAGGCCTGGACGCGCGAATGCAGAAATAGATTCACATACGGTGCTCATTCGCTCAGAAATTCCTGTGCTATGGTGATGTCTCTCGATATTTGCCCCGCCCCCCGCCCCCAACCTTGCCAACTTCGCTAACGTCCTGCCAATATTATGGTAAATATCCCAAATCAGCGCACTTCACAAAAGCCAGACCCTTGATTATCTTACCACGAAGCAATATTGAGGCTTTCTTAGTCAGAACTTCCCTTGCTCACCGTCATAATGGCACTCCCAACCGGAGTGTTTAGTTCATCTCTTTCGGAGTTATACCTAGAGTGTATACAGTTATTTGGAGAATTCCTCCTCGCCCTCAGCGAGAAGGACTGCCGGGTTATCTGTCTTGAGCAGGTTCACCTTTCCAAGATACTCGAAGAGTACGGGAGGACCAAGGTCTGGGGCGATCACACTAAAGCAAACCTACCGGCGAGAGCTCGTGGGTCTTTGGACAACACCCTACGCCACGATACTGAGCTCAAACATTTGGTGCAGGCCATTCTCATGCGATTAAAAGCACTCCTCAGCCAGGGCAAGTCGAATAGGTCGGCACTTCAAAACTAATCTAACCTTGCTTTTAGCAGTATATATCGCTAGAAGGAAGCACGATCCCGTCCTGGGATCAGATTATGACTCTATTAGCAGTGTCAGCGCCGACTCTGATTCTGATTCGAACGACGGTGGTGGAAACCAGCACTACAGGATGCCAAAGATTCGTTTGCTTGTCCAGCAGACGCTGGAGCAGATCCAATCGCTTTACGACCTGTCTGCTTTGCTACGGCGCCCTAAGATTGTGGACAAATATATCCACTCTGTTAACTCGGAATCACATGTAGCCTCATTAAACAACCCTTACCACTTGCCACTAAGTGTCGCGTTCAGCAGATCTGACGAAACCCACATTATAGAGAAGGTTCTGCAATGGCGCAGCTTGACTAAGAGCGCGCAGGGTATCGACTTTGAGTTTGAGGGCGTTGCCCTGATGGGACAAGGATTGACGAATTATTGCGTGGAAGACATTCCGTGGTTTTGTCAACGGCTTGCAGCAGCAAACACAAGACGTCGTGAACAATTTCAATATTGGAATGATCATCCATATGACTCCAGGCAAGACACTATCCACGCAGCCCGACTTGCAACACCACGTCTAGAAGAAAAACAGGAGCCACAAAACCGAGCGTCGACATTTCAGCCTTCCATTCCCAAAGTCCCGCGTGAAGGGCCCAAGTCAACTGCGTCGAAACAAAGTTTCTCTACTGCTGCTGTCTCAGACATTCACGATACGAAGACCAACGTACGACCTCGGACTATCTACACGCCCACAGCCGTCGGCCAAGGCCGTTTCAACTCTGTACCAGATCCCCCAAAGACAGTATTTGGAACCACATTTCCATGTCCGTACTGTGGGACGACTCTTGAGTCTAGTGAGATGCAGAACAGGCAGTCATGGAAGTGAGTCACCCCTCTAGTGCTGTGAGAGTCCAAACGTTCTGACCAGATAAATTATAGGCGTCACGTATTTCGCGATCTCCGTCCCTACATCTGCACATTCGAGGACTGCCAGAACGGTGGGAAGCTTTACGTTAGCCGCCACGACTGGATTTATCACGAGCTTCAAATTCACCGCCGTAATTATGTATGCAAAGTATGCCAGGAGATGTGTTCTAGCAGAAAGGAAATGTCAGCGCATATTCGAGAACATTATAATGACTCAATGTCGCCAAGTCAGTTGGGCGTCATTCTAGATCTCTGCAATCGCCAGGTGGATATCGCAGACTATGAGAAAAACCCGTGCCTCATCGTGGAGAGGAACTCTCATTGTCGGCACTGCAGGGGCATCTTGCCGCTCACATGGAGGACATTGCCCTCTTTGTATTGCCCAATACCAATGAAGAGGAAGATGTTGGAGATTCGAAGGCCTCTGTGCAGGTGGCCAAACTAAAGTCTAAAGGCCAAATCAGTGGTACAGAGTCAGAGCTAAGCAGCCTTGGCTATTCTGCAGCCGGAGATGATAGGCAAATTCCGACCGATTTCTCAGAACTTCTCACCAGCGAAGAAGTGGGATATACATCAAAAGTTTTGTCTTGGAGAAGAAGAGACGATGACCAAATATCGGCACTGGTCAAAGCAACGATGGAGACGAACAACACAAACCTCGGCAAGGATCATCCCGACACGCTGGTCAGTATAGCCAACCTAGCGTTGACGTATAGGAATCAGGGCCGGTGGGAAGAGGCCAAGCAGCTCGATGTGCAGGTCATGGAGACTTATAAGACGACGCTCGGCGAGGGCCATCCCGACACGCTGGTCAGTATGACCAACCTAGCGTTGACGTATAGGAATCAGGGCCGGTGGGAAGAGGCCGAGCAACTCCAGGAACAGGTCATAGAAACTTGTAAGACGACGCTCGGTGGGGACCATCCCGACACGCTGGCCAGTATGACCAACCTAGCGTTGACGTATAGGAATCAGGGCCGGTGGGAAGAGGCCGAGCAGCTCCAGGAACAGGTCATAGAAACTTATAAGACGACGCTCGGCGAGGACCATCCCGATACGCTGGCAAGTATAACCACCCTGGCATCAATGTATATGAAAAAGGGCCGGTTGGAAGAGGCCGAGCAGCTCGATTTGCAGGTGAAGGAGATTCGTAAGACGCAGCTCGGCGAACACCATCCTGATACATTATCTACCTCTGAACTATTGCTGGCACGGGAAACGGAGGGCCCAGAAATGAAAGCCTAGATGAGCTAAATGCTTGAATATATCATTTTTATTTCTGCTTCATATCTACTATCTCTTTGATGAAGATCCAAATTTCGACGTTGAGACAAGGTTATGTTGACTGAAACAAGCCCTCTTCTTTTCTGGACTCGGGCGGTCTTCTCCTTGAAGCTCATTTTTCGGAATGCGGTATATTTTTTTCCGCGCCCTTTCTCCAGGCTAGACTTATATTAGCGATATGACGGGGAAGAAGTCAATACGCATGACAATATCCAATAACCCCATCCTGGACAGGACCTGAAACTATGTTCGAATATCTTTGGACGAAGATATCCCTCTATCAAATGAGGTTTGTTTGGCAATTGAGCACTGAACAAGTGCTAGGAGGGGTACTTGTAAAAGTTAGTTTGACAATTTAGAGCTTGATGTAGCATGGTGGTGTCAGCATCAAATCAAACAAGCAATTAAAGAGGATTATGTTTCTTGAGGGAGAGTAATGGTTTTATAGGACGTTCTTCGTCAACCTGACTAAAGCCGTAGTCACATCCAAGGTCCCAAGGTTGCCTCCTCTATTTGCGAGCGGCAAGTTGACCTGAACGGGAAATTGCCTTGACCAATATGCACTCAGCTCGCGAATCCAGAAGCCTTCACGATCTACTTATTCTTTAGGAGCAAAATGATGCTCTTCACACTTCTAAAAGAAGTACAAAAAGTATCTACCTAGCGTCACAAGAATAAAATCCCAATCTTTCGCGGTTTAACTAACAAAATACAACCAGTTAGGCTCCGACTGTGTCAAAGCCCCGTGGCTCTTCGTTTGTCTCTTGGAATAGCGCAGAAAGAGACCCAAACGATGAGGCAATATGGGAGAATAGCATATCAGTGCTCTCTGATAAATTAGTAGATATTGTTTCCTCCAGTGATTTAACTGTCGCCGAGATTAATAACTATCTGATGGTTTTCAGAGATACCCCTAGGGTGACTGTTTCGAATGCTTTTGATTGAGTGAGTTTTGCCCGCCGCGGTTGCGAAGGGAACAGAAAGTAAATTATGTTTGTTCTTAGTCACTGGAAAATGTTTGTACCCGAATTTATAAAACAGTATGTAGCTATTATGCCATCTCAGGCCATAATTTTAATACCCAGCAAACTACGAAACTAGAATAGTTGAGGTGAAATCGCGATCATTTTCCTCTGATCCCTCCAGATCATCTACATTTTAGTGTGGTATGTGGAAACATGTAAGTTCTAGAATGATCTGCCTCATTTCATCCTATTAACCAAGAGGTATAGTTGTTTTTAGGGAACACGGAATGTAAACCGTAAAACGTTATAAGAAAGCGCAATTCTAGGGAAATGAGCCGAGGGCATAAACTCATGATCCTGGTAAAAGCGGTAGGGTTGGGGATATTGTTCGACCCAAAGGCCACAATATAAATTGTTCTTCAGGTTTCATAGATCGTTCCTCTCCTCTAGCAGATTTTCGTTTGAAACAAATAACGCAGCGATAGTTAAAATGAAGGCTATTATTAGTCCTGAGTTCTCTTATTAGTCCCCCACTCAATAATAAAGATCCAAGCTCGCCTCCTTTCCTTGTCTCCTTTCGGGTTTATACAAGCCTAATCCGGCAGGGGCGTTCGATAGTGTCAGATGAACCTGTTATATATCTGAAATACTCTTCAATTTACGTATTAGCCCTATGGACTGAAACAAGCTGGCTATGCCAAGACTCGGATTTTCTCGCAATTCCCCCGCCCACACGCTGCCAAGCGCCAAGTTTTCATCATAATGCGTTGCATAAGGGGTTAATGCAGGAATTAATGCCCATGACAATTAAGAGCAGGCTAGACGTCGGTCATCACATGAGAGTCTTGGGTCTTGTTAAATATCCCTGGAACCATAGAAATCATTATTTTATTAAATAGTCTTCCTAACAGCGCCGATCGTTCGCTTTTTTTTCGCATCCTGGGAGACGGGAACGGTAAAATCTTATTCGGCTGTCCCCTCATTCTCTCCCCTTTTATCGCAAGGAATGCCCGATTATATCTATCCCTTCAGATTTTAACTGCTTCATCCTTTCGATAATCTCATTTGCTTTATTCATGTTGGAATGACTGAAATCGAATCTTCTCAGCGAGATGCCCAGCCGGAGGCGTCTCCGCTCACCTCTAACGAGGGGGGGTCTCCCTCGCCCGTAAAGGCAGCGCCGGCGCCCAAGGCCGGTAGGAAGCTGCCAGAATGGCTTGACCACTTCAATGCCCGTGATCTTAAGGTGCTGTTTCGTTGCTCGCTGGCTGCGTGGGTCGCGTCGCTGTTGATATTTATCACGCCGTCCCTAAGCGTCATTGGTACTGCGACTTTTTTTGCAGCGTGAGCGCATCTATATATCCCCTCTCAGTATCAGTTGCTAATCCTATTGTGAGATCAGTCTGGTACTCTTCATGGTGCCTCCGACCGGCATTGTCTTCATTTTCCTTTTAGGAACTCTGACCCTCGTCATTGGCATGGCTTTGGGCTGGGCCTGGGGTGTCATTGTCATGAAGGCTGCTATGGCAGCGAGACCAGCAGCTGAGACACAGGCCAGGATTCAAGTCCTAGGACAGGCCGCATACAGTCAGGCCAATTCTACCGGGCAGCCTGTCGCAGCTGTTCAGAAGGAACTTGTTTACTCGGGCTGGATGCTTGACGCTCGTGTAACAGCTGTCCATTATTGTCTAATCTGTTTGTTCATCTATTTACTCGTGAGAATTTCCCGATCCATTCATAAGTATCAATACACTAACCCTCTTGCGCAGTCCCGTCTTCGGGCTAAGAACCCCAAATTCATTATAATGCAGATTTTCGGAATCATCATCGTTGATGTTACTCTGACTATTGGCCCGCTGCTTCCATCATTCAGTGGCACTATCCCCAAGGTCTTGATTGAGCCTGCCGCTATCGGAATTGGCTTGGGTCTGGTCTCCCATTTTATCTTCTTCCCTCGGTCTACCTCCCATGTCGTGCTTGATGGCATGGAGGGGCTGGTGCGGCTACTCAAAGGACCCCTAGACGCCACGGAGAACAGTCTCCTAAAAGGTGAAGTCTTGGCTATGGCAGATCTTCAAACGATCAAGTTGAGGACCATTGCTGCTTATAGGGATCTCAAGCCGGCCATGAGCTTTTTGCCATTGGACTTCTCCGTCGGTTGGTGGGGTGCTGAAGACATCAAGAGCATGAAAAAGCCAATACGCCAGGCTTTGATAAGCAGTCTGTCCCTTCTGGAAGTTCATATCGCCCGCGTCGGGGGACACGCGAAGCTAGAAAAGTTGCACCAGCTCACTGTGGATCGGGATTCAGACTCCGATTCTCAAGCTAGTGAAAATGAGAAAAAACGCCCCCGCGAGGTTGGCATGCGCCAGCTGATGCAGAGTGTTAATTTGGTACAAGCACTGCGAAGCCCGGAACATGAATCTTTGCGATCGGAAACTGTCGAGGTGTTGCGCCAGTCCAGCAAGGATATCCTCCCGGCGTGCCAGGAGGCTGTTGCGATCATTGCGGAATCCATCAACACGGTTAACAAGCGTTGGTTCGGTCGCCCTTCCAAGGAACGTATCAGTCAGTTGCATGAGCGGAGTCAAACTGTGCTGCAGAATCTTCAGGCTGTGCGCTCATCGTTTGCAACGGAAACCACCGAACGTTTGATTGAAACACACGCGGAAATCTTCGACGAAAAAGGCATGCTCAAGTCTCTTGACGAAAGCTCATTGCACAGAGTCAGGGGTATCACTATGGGAATGATCTTCGAAGAGCAGGTGCTCGGCGTCGCCGACGGGTGGGAGCGGGTCCTAGGACAGCTTGTCGTTCTCCTGAATGAACGCCAGAAGCTCCGTCTATGGCTACCCAAGGGATTACGATATGCAGTCAACTGGATTCTCCGAAAGAACGTCGTGGCGCCTGTGACCGCGGCTCATAACCCAGTCATCGACCCCGACGTCGCGGAGACGCAGTCCAAAGCGGCACAGCAGCATCTTCGCATCAGCAGAGGGTATCGTGCCACCCGAGGCAGCCGCTTCGGGCGCGCTATCATCGGCACCTATCATTGGTTCATCAACCCGGAAGGTCTTTATGCAATGCGCATGGTAGCTGTCACCATCGCACTCGCTATCCCTGCTGCGATTCCTCACACTGCAGGCTTCTATTACCGCGAGAAAGGTCTTTGGGCCCTCATCATGGGGCAGACCACGCTGGTCATATACATGGCCGACTTCACTTTCTCCCTTATTTGTCGAGCCATTGGTACCATTGTTGGTGGTCTCCTTGGCTTGGTTGCGTGGTACATTGGCTCAGGCCACGGTGCAGGTAACCCGTATGGTCTTGCTGCTATCACGGCTGTTGTGCTCACGATTCTCATGTGGGGACGTATCTTCGCCCCGCCCGCTATGCTTCAAGCTGTGATTATGGCTGGTGCTACCTGCATCCTGGTTATTGGTTACAGTTTCGAGGATACGTAAGTAAATTGTACCACATTACGAGAAACAACACTACTGACACACTTCCCAGACACATCCCAACTTACGGCAATCCTGGCTGGGGATATAATGTTTTCTGGCGACGACTTGTGCTTGTTCTTATCGGCTCCGCAGCGGCACTGATCGTGCAGATCTTCCCTCGCCCACCGTCTGCATCAAGACACGCCTGCAAGTCCCTTTCAAATGTCATCCGCTTACTGTCGGACCACTACGCGCTTCTCTTATCCTGCTGGGGACAAGGGCGCGAAGAAGGCCTGGCCGCAGAGAAGCTGGCTCTTAACCTTGCGGAGACTCTCACCGCACTGGAGGGGCCCATCGCGTTGCTACGCTTTGAATTTTCCGGCTCGCCATTTGACAGCGACCGTCTCGGCCAGGTGAAATCGCTGTGCCAAGAACTCAATCAGAACATCGCTCGCCTACTTTACCTATCTGCTTCGCTGCCAGAACACCTGCAAAATCGCCTAGCTCGTCAAGCTGGTCTCCTTGACCACCGCAATATCGGCGACGTCATGGC